GGTTAATAGGCTTGTGAGAGAAGGATCATAAAGTTACTAAGAATATGAAATAACTGGTCATCTTTCACTAGGTGCTTATTCAATGACATGGTACATAAAATCCTGCTGAATTTCACTATACCACAACGAAGAATATTTTTAGCCATTTAGCCACATATTCTGAACTATAAAGGATAAACTAACAAACTGTTTCCAATTTGACTTATGTTACGTCTTCATTTTATTCAGCATTGATTAAATAAGATGAATGGTTTATTGTTTTCACAGTATTTATATCTGTAAACCTTTCCAATTTGTAAAATCATGGAATTGATCATTCTACAGTGGACTGCAATAAAACAACATTTTTTTTTTTTTTTTTAAGTGTTTCTGCCGAAGACTCCAGTATACTGACAAAATTGCACCAAAATAGATTTTTTTCCAGCAATATTTCTTCCAACAACTTGCATATATATACAACATTTTGATGTTGTAATGAATACCAAGGTGCTTCACTGGCATGTTATTATGCCAGAGTCACACTAGGTGATACTTGAGCAGGTAACAAAAATCTCAAACAAAGAGGAAGTTGTAAAAGAACATCATAAAGGAGGAATGAGAGATTGTTTTACGTAGGGAGGGCATTTCAGAGTCTATAGCCTAGGCAGCTGAGTGCACAGCCCACCAAAAGTAGAGAATATTTAAATCCAGCCTTTTGAATCTCGATTTTGAGATGCTTCTTGAGCTACCTCAGATGTTTATTAGAGCAAATATGATATGAAGCTTACAAAAAGCCAACTTCTGAGACAGAGATAAATCCAATATTGAATGTCAAGCCAGTAGAGTTTGACAGTTTAGAGACAGTGGACAGGTCATGACAGGTTGCTGAGGAAAAGCAATGTAAATGAGGCGTAGGAAGAGCCCACAGACAGGACTTGGAGGAACATTTGAAGAAATAGTGCAGGATCAGGAAGTCAGTAGATGACTCTCTAGCTAAGGTCAGAAAGATAACATTGAAACAAGATGAACACAATGGAACCCAGCTGAACAATGATCATTGAAGGAAGATGGTTTAGCCAACAGTACCAAAATTTGCAGGCAGAGTAAGAACGACAAGAAGAGATACCTTATGTTTGTATTAGTTGCATAACATATGATTTGTGATTTTGATATGGGGCACTTAGGTTCAGGGAAAGGGAGGATTAGAATGGTCCAAAATTGGAGTTCCAGGAAAGGCTGATACGTTCAAGGGCTTATGAGAAGAAAGTGTAGTTAGAATTTGAGCAGTAATTTACAAATCTGCTTGGTGAATGCTTTTTTTGAGTAAGGAGTTGATTATAGGAGAGATGAAGTAGAACCATACAATCCCTACAGCGTGGAAGCAGGCCATTCGGTCCATCGAGTCCACACTGACCATCTGAAGACCATCCCACCCAGACCCACACCCCCTACCCTATTCCTGTAACCCTGCATTTTCCCATGACTAATCCACCTAATCTGCACATCCCTGGATACTACGGGCAATTTAGCATGGCCAATCCACCTAACCTGCACATCTTTGAACTGTGGGAGGAAACCCACGCAGACATGGGGAGAATGCGCAAACTCCACACAGTCGCCTGAGGGTGGAATCAAACAGAAGTCCCTAGTGTGGTGAGGCAGCAGTGTTAACCACTGAGCCACTGAGCTGCCCCACTTCCTGCAGTAGGAAGAGTACTTGAAGACAAACCAATCAGCTAACCTGGAAACTAGGGACAAAAGTTGGTTCATCAGCAGTTAAGTGGGAATGGAGTATAAATGGAGGGAATTTTTGTTTTATAGGCAAAATGAACTCAAAGGGCACAAGTGCAGTTTGGAAAGAACTGGAGAATGATGAGAAATCAGGTTAGGTCAGGGGTAATCTTAGAGGAAGTTTAGCCTGGTGAGCTAGGGGAAGGGAGGGATTTGGAAAAGGCACCTTAATGGAAAAAAAAAAGTCATAAATTGCTCATACTTACTCATAGAGATGAGGGTGGAGGACTGATCTCCATAACTCTAAATGTTCAACCGTAGAAATTTGAAAATATTTTTTCACAAGCTTGGAAAAATGTCTTAATTATATGTAAGAAAGCAAAGTTCTCTGGAGGAGCCGCCAGTACATATTCAAGCTTTCACTAGAACACTTAGTTGTGAAATGAAATCAGAACATAAAATGAGAAAAACAAAATAGCCTAATTGTGCAGTATATGAACAATAGATTTAGCTGCTATGCCAGACTAAACATATTTCTAATCTCATGTGGAAATCAGCTTTTAATTAAACATCCCACCACTCTCCTTTGCATCATTAATCTCTTGCTCAACACCACAGCCTCACCCCTGTATTTATTGCTCAGCCACAATCCATATCAATACATGATCAACAGTCCAAAGTAGTGAATCAGTAAGATCTGACAAAGCGTAGTTTAAATATGGTGCTGACAATGCTTTAGTGTTTGAAAGATGCCATAGTGATAAGAATCAGCGAAATGTACATCTCCAATGATGTTATGGATATGTGGTGAAAAAATTGATGCCCCTAGGGGAAATAAAATTTAGACTTTCTGATGATCTCTTTCCAACAAGCAAATAGGTACAAGATCAGATTTAAGCAATTATCTATTTGGAGTAGAATAAGTGACTGACACTGGGGCTTACACATGAAGAATCAGTTGGGAAAGGTAACAGAGAGCTACAAGAATTTGTACAAGAAGTCATTATTTCAGGAAAGGAAAAATAATAAGTTGAAGTAAACCAAGGAATTAAAGTCTACAGAAAGTGGAAATGAGCTGCACAGAACTCTGTGGATCAGTATCTTGAGATGGAGGAGAGATTTGCGTACCTCGATGATCTCTTGAGCTATGCTGTCCCGACGTCTTGCACCTGATCGGGCCATCCACGGTGACAAGGTCAGGAGGAAGTGCTACATAATTTACGGTTCAATCAGTAGATCAGACAAATGAAGACATACAACTCAGTGGTTGTACAAGTGGAAGAAGGGATGCAACAGTAAGGTAATCTCAGTTATTTGACATGTTACTGAAATCTGACCACTAGCCTTTTAAAATTATGTGGACAAGGTCCCCAACTTGAATTAAGTCACATGCCAGCTTCAAACAGGGTCAAATTGACAAGTTTTGGGCTGATTGAGGATTAAGAATGGATTCAAGGTTGTGAACCCGAGAGTCCCTGATCTCGAATCTGCACACAGGTGACAGATATATGTGATCTACAGTTTGTGTTTGACTGCAGGTTCATTGCTCACTCTGCACCAGAATTTCAAGCCATTCTCTATCTCCTCAATTCTGAATACAAGAAACTTGGCCTGTCCTTGAATGTTCTCAAAGCTCAAATCTACCCACAACTGACCAGACATATATTGTACCTCCCATTTATGTTGAAGGTGAGGCTCCAGAATATGTTGAATACTTCCTGTACCTAAGCAGGCACCTCTCTAAAAGGACACCATCACTATAACTCCAGATTACCTGCACAGGGTTAACCTTCAGTGAATGCTTGATAGGAAAGAGCTCCACAAGTCCGAGTGCACTGAGCTGTTGCTCAGCACCAAGCCCTTGATTATGTATTGGCGACACATAAGACGATGATAGAAATTCCATCAGTAACACTTTCACCACATCCTCCATATTCAAAAGGACTGTCAAATGCTAGTCATATACTTCAGCCCAGACACACAATCATTCAGAAGAAACAATCTCAGTGGACGAAGCACAGTATCCACAAGGCTGAAAATTGTCTCCTTTACCAGATCCTAGTCTCCCAACTTTTAAATGGCCGAGATAGCAATGGAAAACAAAGAAAATGCTACAAAGACACTTTGGTACTTTCCCTAATGCATGGCAATATTGGCTCAGATGCCTGAAAGGAGCATGCTACCAATAGCTCAGAATGGCTACTTGTCCCTCAAACTGCACTAGGCTTCAAGTCCTAATACGTTAACGATGAGGCAAGCAAAAACTGACCTGCTTAGTCACATCAAGAGCCATGACAGAAACATGTGAATCCAATTAGCTATTATCCTCAAATCAAGGGTAAGCTGACAATGGAAGTGATGCTAGTTTTATGTAAATGGTTGGAAAAAATCTCTGTTATCATTTTGTTATGCTGAAAATTCTATGATCAGTATACTTTGTAGACAATTAGCATTCATACATCTGTGCATAATTTCATTAGAAATTGTCATAGTTCATGCTGCTTTTATTTACAAATATAGATGGAACTTAAAAAGATGAACAAAATGTCTATGCACGGAATGTATATGCATTTCAGTATTTTCTAGAAGAGAAATATCTTTATAACATTTGGCACAAACCATTACTATGCATTATATAAATAACCTCATATTTTGCTTGAAGCTACATTGAGAGTTTTGTCAGTGCATAGAAGACTCATGAAGTCTGGGACTCATTTCTATATGGTTGTGATTCCTGCCAACTGATGTTAGGAAAACAATAAGTCAAGTAGAGTTTCACAATGAGAAACAATGATTGGATCTGCTGTTTTCACAATTTTCTGTCAATTATTCAGACAAATGATTTGTTGCAGCAAGACATTCTGTGACAAGCCCCACAAACTTCTATATTTATACCGTTTAGCATGATTTGGTGCCCAAATAGTGCAATATATTTTTTTAAAAAAGGCCCTGAAGCCTGAAGGAAAATACCTCTTTCTGGTCAGTGGTTCCCACTCCAACTATTTCTGCTCCCCACTGACCTTTGCACCATTCTATCAAAGAAGATTTAGTATCTCAGAAGTTGAGTTGCAACAACAATGGCGAAGGGTTCAGGAAGTAACAATGAGCACATTACTGGCATACTTAGCGCACAGCATCAGCAACTGATTGGGTAGGAATAAGGCAGAATTCCAGCATTTAGAACTACACAAACGAAGAGTTTTGGCCCACGAGACAGCTGCAGATCCTGATACTTCTGCTTCAACAATCACTCGTGAGAAATAAATTTATTTTTAATGCCAAAGCCTTACCTTTGTTCATATCAATCAACTGTTTCTTCTTTAGCTGCCGTTCCAACTTCTCCCTCTCTGCTTTCTCTTTCGCCAGCTTTGCTCTTTTGATCTTTTCTTCCATTTCCCTCTTCTTAATGTTTTCTTTCAGTGCTTCCTTTTTTTTCAAGAAACAAATATTTGTGTTACTGATACATTCAAAACACCAGCACTATCATATCACCATCATTGTAAGACACAAAAACATCCACCAGTAATTGTTGCACATGGGTTTGAATGGGTTAATACTGACTCAATGTCATAAGCACATCTACTGTAATGCTGTGAGGGGAACAGATGTGCAGAGTAACTAAGGATCCTGAAGGAATGAGACTTATGATCAGGTCTTCCTAACAGTCTCTGTTATAAGGTATACTATTTTCCCGTTACATATAAATGGTTGTAGAAATGCAATGTATCTTGTTTACTATTAAAGATTCTTGCAGTTAGACCCAAAAATGGCTATCTTCGTCCACACTAGAGCAAGGGGACTGTAGAAATGTATACCTAAAAGGTGGCTGTGGCAGAATGCAGGTTGATAATAGCATCCAAAGTACTGATGGCAGTATTTCTGAAGGGCTAGATATCAGGGAGACTTTGGGATGTGGGTGCACCATTTTGTATTTGTGAATTCTGAGTTATGGGTGGAAGAAATTAAATCATAACTGTGTTATTACACTAACTGGGACACTTTCTGCCCAATGCTTTGCTACCTCAGACAATTCAAAGGTCAAATGGTAAGAGGTATTATATCAAGCTGCAAGTGAAGCAACAACCATTGCTGTTATAAAGTCAAGCACTTTGTATGTGCGATGTGTAGGTTTGGAACAAATGAAAACTGGCACCTCTATTTTAAATAGGCCTTTTAAAAATCAGCTGCAGAAAACCCACATTCAAATTTTAAAGTATCACCCACAAAGGCCATACCCTTCAAAGAAGTTGCAATCAACTACTTAAAATTTATTGAGAAGATTCATCATACCAAGAAGAGTTATTATCTCCCCATGCTATTATGAACTGTCAGAGAAATAGCGAAGGTGAAAATAATGAGTGGAACTTAAGATGCTGGCATTCAGGAGAAAGACGGCAGCACAGTGAACACTAAAAATTCCATGGATTAACATTACGTTTTTGTAATTCAGCAACTTTTAATATTTAAATAATTATGTAATTGAAGCTATTCAAACCTTTGTAAACTGTGAATGCAATTAGTCTAAATATTAAGATGTAAACCACTTCTAACTGACTTTTAAAGAAAGAAAATCTGAAAAAAATTATTGAAGATTCGCTTTTTTAAAAAAGTTGGATAGATGGAAATTTTGGGCAAAAGAATAGAGACATGCAATGAAAACCAGAGCTTATTTTGCAGCTGTCTCAGGATGCTGTAAGATAAACAATAGTCACAGCTTGTCCATAGGTTCAAAACATCTTGGAGAGATATTATACTCAAGAGATATTAAGAACTACAATAGCTGGCGTCAGAGATAACACAGGGTGGAGCTGGAGGAACACGGCAGGCCATGCAGCATCAGAGGAGCAGGAAAGTTGACATTTTGGGTCAGGACTCTTATTCACCTTTCTATATTGGAGAGATACTATCTACAGCTAAAGTAGGACCGCTAACCCTTTACTATCGGAGAGAGAGACAGGCCAAAATCCTTTCTGGTCAAATGGCTGAGTCAACCTGTTCAGATCAGTGTCATGGCTTTTCTCTTACTCACCAGGTCAGGCATAGCAGGCACAAATAAATCCTGAATAATGTGTTTACACATCACATGTGCAAGCTTATCTCTATAGTATTGTTTTGGCTTGTAGGATTTTGTTCCCCTAAAACACACAAGGAAAATCTAACAGCACAGAGCAAGGATTATGCCTGGAACATTCCTGCTCTATATGGCTCAAGTATCTTAATGAATCTTGATTGTATCAGGGGTTATTTCTTTCCAGTACTGAGAAGGTATTGCCTTCACCCTCTCTATATTTGCAGATTATGACTGCTTTCCACGAAGGTGGCATGAGAGTTAGGAATGAACAGACATAAAGCTCCAGGAGTCGCAAGGATTGCTTAACATACAATTGGCCAAATTCAACAGACATTTTGGAGCATAAGACTGAATGCCATAAGAATAGAGAATGGTTGGTTGATTAGTATCATATCTGTGTGTCAAAAAACAGCAAAAATTCTTACGTTGCACTGTCAGAAATTTGATCAGAGCATCAATTAGATACTTAAATAATGAAACAACAAAAATAAATGCAACCTAAAACGCCAAAAATTCCTATTTTATTTTACAAATAATGGTGGAATATGCTTGCATTTTCTAAAGTGCAGTATATGGCTATTTTCAATTTCCATAGAGAGATCTGGGTACAAAAACCTAGGCTGATACTTTCATGGCAGTGAAACCAAGACCTCATCTGCTCTCTTAGGTGTATGTAAATTGCCCAAGATTGTGGAATTGATAGCTGATGAAAAACATCAATGAATTCTTCCTGGTGTTCTGATTAATAAATAGGCCTCAACCAACATCACAAATTATTGTTTTTGGAAGCTTACTGTGCCCATGGCCTGCCACTTTTCCAATATTATAAATGACTCTGCTGTAATGTGTTGGCTGCAAAGGCTCTCAGAATAATAAAGGTTGTGAAAGGTGCTGTGTGAATGGAAGATTTTCTTTGCTTTGTTAATATTCAAACTTTCTTGGGAAATTATTGAAATTGAAGAATATTTCATCTGTTCTCTCACCAAGAAAAGTCAAAGAACTATTTAGTGGATTTTATAAACTAATTAATCTTTTGCAAATAACACAGAACATGGGGACAAAAGAACTTTGAAGAATTAGAAAACCCATTCAACTCTTACAGTATCCATCATTTCTTTGTGCTCACAGAAAGGTAGATAATTGACTACTGAAACAATTTTTACTGCTATCTGGAATGGACTTTCTTGGGATCATTTTGGGCGATAAGCCCTCAGCAACTTCATTATACTGCGTTCTTAAATTTCTTTTTGGCATTTCCAACTAATTTAAAAGCTATTGCAATCAAACGTGTCAGCTTTCTTCAGATTCTGGAGAATTTCAAACTGGTCACACTTAAATAACATTTTGTACAAACAGCCAAAATGTACTTTTCTAAATCTTCCTTGAATGCCTGTTTCTGCTTCTCAACTTTGTGGCCTATGAAATCTGCCCATAATGAAGTGACCAATTCTATACTGCAACAGTGCATCATGCAACAGAACAATTTCTGAGGCAGGAAATTATTGTTGTTGACATTAATGGACGAACCTTTGATATTCCTCTGTTGGTTTTTTTTAAAAACAGAAGCATGGACTTATTTCTTTCAATTTTAGTTTGTATTCTATCTTCCATTAATGAAACTTATTTCCTGTTATATACTGTAGTAGAGATTAATTGTCTCAACCGCCATCCTAGTCCTGTGATTGTGCTCAATCTACTTTAGAAAGTTTCCATTTAATGAGTGGTTTTCTTCTTTTAATTCGGCTTTCGGTCTACAACTATTTATCCCAGTTCTGGGCATGTTCTCTGTATTCTCTCTATGATATTAGACTCTATTTTCCCTTCATCTCGTATCAGTTTTCCACATTTCCACCCACGTTTCTTTCTTTAGAGATTTCTCTTTTAAGATTATGAAAAATACAACCTGATGCAAGTTTTAAATGTTTTACAGTTATTCAAGTCTCCAGAGAGTAAGGATTCAAAGGGGGATAAGGGGTTGGTTTTGCTAGTGGGGAAGGTGGGGTTGAAGGTGGAGACACTCAGCTTTCAGAAAAATGTGAATGGCCGTGTCAAATTATTTTTAATTGGGCTGTTATTATGTAAATCGGCTGCCTGTCAAAGGAATGACCTGCCGCAGTCTGCTGGTGAGGAGCTGTCTCAGTTGCATGGTTGCATCCAGGAGCCTTCCTACTGCTCTACTGCCTCCATCCATCTCCATTCCCAAAATCCAGGGACTGATCAGATCAAGGGGCGCTTGTCCTTTATGTTTGAAATTTTGTCATTCAACCAACTAAAATGCATAGTAACTATTTTAAAATGTGGAGCCTCACTATATGAAGGACTGGAGAACACTGCAGCTATCATGATATATAATCGATGAGAGTTTTTACAATGCAGCAACATGTGATCTGAAATGCGCTGCCTCAAAGGGTGAAGGAAGTAGGTTCAACACTAACTGTCAAAAGTGAATTAAATAACAAAGAGAGGGACTTTGTGGAAGGGGCAGGGGAGGAGGACTAACAAAAGATCTCGCACAGGCACGTTTAATTGAGTGACCAATTTCTCAGCTGTATCATTTAGCAGTTATATAACATTATTATACAGGAGTAGCTGCTACCTGAGCCACATATCAGCTATTAGGTCCATGGCATCAGAGTTAAGGGATTGGTCATGTGTCTCATCAGGTGCTAAGCCGGGTGACTCTAGTTCTCTTTCCCTTCTGATTTGATTCAATAAGCAATACACGTTTGTGCCTATTGAAAGGTTGCCATTGATTTGAGACACCAGAAGAAACCTCTTTTCAACACATCACGATGAAGTCTACAATTTGAAGAGGCAGCGAGGCAGGAGAGGTGTGTTTGCCATGACATAGTTTAAAAATCCCAGTTTATAAGCTTACGGCCCCCAGAAAAAATAATTTCATAACATTATCCAGTTAGGCTTAAAGAACTACATTTTTCAATTATAGCATCTCTACTATTCTCTTATACCAAGCAGATGCTTATTCCTAAGCGTGACCTAACCTACTTGATTTTTAACTGCAGCAGATCAGCTGTGTGATTAATTTAAAGAGACGGGAGGCAAACCGTCTTGGTGAGCAACAAAATCATTGCTCGTCCAAGAAGAAAATCAGCAACTGCTCTCAAAAATCTTGGCTATAAATGATAAAAATTGATTGATTAAATGATATGCACAGTTAGGGTGTTAGCTACTACCATAGAGATTTATTCAAATGTTAAACTTACTTGTTATACTCCTCATGTTAATCTTTATCCCGTTGATCAAATGGATGAAACCATATGGTGCGAAGGTTATCTTTGTGATATGTATGCATTAAAAATGTAGTGTGGTTCCTGTTGCAAATCCACTGACCATT